TCACCACAGCGACAGCCCTGGTTATTGTGGTCAGTGTACAGGTGAGGAACTGTAGAGTGCTTTAAGCAGGCGACTGCCTCACAGAGTGCTGTGCAAAAGTGTTGAGCCACCCCTCATTTCTTTATATTTTACTTCAAAGGAGCCAGACGTTCTGTCATTTCTGGTCTTGCAAGGTTTTTCTTTAAATTACATTCCCAGTTTCTTCTCATCTAGTCTTTGTACTTAATCACTTTCAGAGAAGGTTTTTATTTTTCATTTGTATTGAAAATAACATCGTGAAGAAATAGAGATGCATCTGGCGCTGCAGTTTAGCCATCTACTGTTCATCAAAGGTGGTCTCAGTGGATGAGAAACTCTCTCTTCCTTAAGAAGAAGTGTGCCAAATTACACATGAACTGAACTAAAATAATCGGTGGCATCAGGCTTTATGGAAGGATGAATCCAAATGTGAAATTTTTGTTTGAAATCATCATCAATACGTACGGAGAACAGTGAGTCATCTATAAAACACGGTGGAGACTCTGTCATGGTTTATAGCAGCATTTCAGCCAGTGGTGTTGGAGAACTTGTCAAAATTGGTGAAACACAGAAAAGTCCCATCAGATTTTGACCCGCCATGCAGTATCATCGGGAAAGCATCTGATTGGCAACAGCTTCATTTTTCAGCATGACAGTGATCCCAAAGACACTGGGAATGCAGTAAAGGTGCACCTAAAAAGACTGGCCTCCCCAGAGCTCAGATCTCAACATTACTGAAGGATTGTGGGATCATGTCGACAGAGAACAGAACAAAAGGAAGCCAAGATCCAAAGTAGAGCTTTGAGGCTCTACTTAAAGAATCCTGGAGAAATATTCCTGAAGACTACTTAAAGAAATTACAAGAAAGCTTGTCTAAGAGAGCTCAGGCTGAGATGAAGATTAAAGATGGTCATACACAATATTAATTTTCAAACTCATTAGAATTGTGTATTAATGCTTATATCCTGTATTTCCATGTATATTTGCACAGATTTCAATAAACCGCTGCACCTGTTTCCCATTTTACTAGCAAAATATAAAGAAATGCAGGGAAGTGGCAAGCTCAGCGTTGTATAACAATTAATTGTTCAGGAGTGGCATATTAACTGTGAGCATCTGCTGTTTTCTGGGGGTTTATTCTTTTTGTTTTGTTTGCATGTCTGTGTTTGTAGATTGTTCTCGATACCGGCTTCTGGACAGTGTTCAACCATGTGTTTGTGTGGGGCTCTCTGGGCTCCTATTTCATCATCATGTTTGCTCTGCACAGTCAGACCCTCTTCAGGATCTTTCCTAATCAGTTCCACTTTGTAGGTTCGTCCCTGCTCCCATTTCTCAGCCACATGTGTACCAGCAAATCAAATACTGCAATTCTTCTTAGCTGATATCATTCTGCCAACACCGATTTGTTTTCATCCATAATTTACATACTTTTTTGTAATGAAAATCTATTTTGTGAGTCTAAAAACTAAACACAAGTAAGTTTCAGTACTGAGAATAGATTGATTTTGTATAATCTGATATCACTTCATTGCACCAAATGCATTACTGTTGGAGATAATAATAATAATCATGTGTACACAGTGAAAAGCAAGACATGTCTAAAACACATTTGTCTGTTCTCTGTCTGTTTGTAAGTGCAGGTAGTGCCCAGAGCACATTATTGCAGCCAGTCGTGTGGTTAACGATTGCACTGGCAACAGCAATATGCATAGTTCCAGTTTTGGCGTTCCGCTTCCTCAAGCTGGACCTCAAACCTCAGCTCTCAGACACGGTGAGAAAACACACAAAAACACAGCGTTTCTAACACTGATGTCTCCATCTTCTTCCTTGCAACATGCTTTACAGTCTTTCTAGAACGTCAGTTTGAACTCTGTGCAATGATTAACTGCATGTGTAAAAACATTTTATCTTTGTGTGTCTTTGTGTGGGGTGGTCGGGACTAATTGCTAACCGTCACAGTGCACTTTAATACCCTGCAAATATTGACCTAATCAGTTTCCCCTAATGTCATGACTTGCTTTCAGTAAATTCATCCAACATAAGTGTGTGGCTTTATCAGACGTTATGTCTTGAGCTTAGCCGTGCATCCAACCGAAGCCGATGTCAAGATGTTGTGAAGAAGTTCCTGCTTTGATTTGCATGTAGTTTCTCAACAGTCACTATTACAGATTTTTTTTATGATGAGGTTAATTTTGAGTTAAGTGCAAAATGTTCTGGGTTTCGATGACCTAAAACATGAGTTTAAAAGCAGCAGAAATAGTTTGATGAACTGCTGGGTAGATGCAAAGACTACAAAGACTAAAAATAAGGCAGGATGCATAAAAGTTTGAAAAAATGTGATGGTTTAGAAGTCCTAAAACTGAAAGTTTCACTGAAACTTTCAGTTTTTATTTTGTTGTCAAATGGCGTAAATATTAGTTTGAGTTTTTGTTTTGTTTTGGGGGAATTTTTTTTGTTTTGGTTTTTATTTTTATTTTTGGATGATCTTATTTGTGCGGCTATGGTGAACTAGCCGTTTTCCTATAAGCTGAAACGATGTCCCATTTCCTGTCTCATCGTTCTCCAGGTTCGTTACACTCAGCTGGTGCGGCAGAAGAGACGAAAGCCGCCAGGTCGTAACACTGGAAGCGCTTGGCGTGGTACCGGCAGTGTGTCAGAGGGCCGTCTGGGCGCCCGTGGTGGTTCAAGGAGATCCGGCTATGCCTTCGCCCATCAGGAAGGCTTTGGAGAGCTAATCACATCAGGGAAAAATATGAGGCTCTCGTCTCTGGCCCTGGCATCCTTTGCCTCCAGACATAGCTCCAGCTGGATTGACACGCTCCGCAGGAAGAAGCATACTCACACTCCCCCCAGCACCTCAGGGGAGTGCAGCCCAGCACCCAGTTTCATCTCTGTGTCGGTTCCACCACTTTCAAACTCTTCGTCTATTCTGGGCGGCTCTCAAGAAACACCGATCGAAGAGGAAACGGTTGCGGCACCAGCTCAGAACACACAGATGATCCCTGCTTCAGTCACACAAACCTTACCAGCTTTGGCACCAGATGCAGAAGCTCCTGCGTCTCAAGTTTCAGCTCAGGCCACCAGTTCTGGCGTTTTAACCCCCACAGCAGCAAAGTCCCAGGGGGGAGACTCACCTGGAGGCTGGACCCTTTCTCTGGGGACCGTGCAGGTCATTTGAGGTTTTATGATGTAGCAGTAACACAACAGTTATATAACAAATGCAACAATACACACTAGCACTTTTATATCTGTGTGATGCAACTCTTCTAACACCAAGCTAAAACATAACCTTTCTTTCTTTGTCCAACAGGAAGCTCTGTTTGGTTGGAAGGTTATTGCATCTCGTGCCAGTTCATCCAACAGTCCGGGCCCAACCTCTATTGCCAAGGAAAACAACCAGATTAAGTGAAACGTAAACATCTGATGGATGAATTCTATATTTACTGCGTGTACCAGACACACAAACTGTACACACTGTGTGCTTTTCTGGAGAGAACACAAAGACTGTTATTTAAATAAAAAAAACTTTACCCGCACAGTGTCTCAAAATGCATCAGTTACATCCGGATCTCTGCAGGAAGCGACATATCGTCTTATGACATGAACTTTCTCAGCCATAAATTAAGATTTACTGGTGAGATATTTGAGCGCACAGTGTGTGGTGGTTATGTTAATGAATGCTTGAGATTTACAGTACATAACTGAGGGACAGAAGCAGGTGCAGAAGCAAATGTCAAAGTAGCCTTTGAAAGATTGTTTCTGCTTATTTCACAAGCCTCACTCACAACTAAGCCACTCAGCGCCTCTCAGTAATGAGACGAATGAGCAAGCAGAATCATAACAGTTTTAACCAGTGAAGTGCAAGCTGTATTATCTGCAAAGGTTCTCAATGAGAATGGTATTTTAATTTAAAGTATTCTCCCAAAGGTCTGTTTTGTTTAGTTCTTACTTGTTATACTGTAACTCTTCCCACATTTGCTTTTTTTGCATCACATTGATGTGTTTATGTGTGATTTAAAGCTAGGCCTTTTTTTTGGTCTAACAAAGGCCAGATCATGTTAATGTGCCTCTGATGTAACGCAGACGTAAGAACAGAATGGAAAGACTTCACTTTAGGCCAGTTCTGCAGAAAAGAAAAGGTAGAAGAAAAATAAATTTAAAAAAAAAAAGTGATTTGTTAAATTCCTAATCATGATTGTTGTCATTGTGAACAGTAGTGCTTATCCGTACTGTAAACATATACTCCAGTAAAGTGCTTTATATTCATTTTTGTTCATGAATTAAAGAAAGGAAGTTGTTTGTGGACAATCATGCCTTAACAAAGCCAAGATATCGCCCCCTTTTTTCTTTTATTTTTTCCACCCCTCCACTAATCCAAGTGTTGATGCACCTCAGACTTGGCTAATCATTAAATAGGGTAACCAAAGGAACACTGACCTGCTCTTGGACATCTCTCTGTACTACGGTCAGCAACAGGCAGTTGAAACACAGCTCACGTGATCTGCAAAATCTGGTCTAAATGAATGTACTGTACAGTTTTAGCAGGAGGCAGGTCTCTGTGGAAGTGTGGATGTGAATGATATTGAATAAAAATCTGATTTGTCTTTCACATGAGGGAAACATGCTGCGTCTGTGCAAATGATTTACTCATCAAACGAAGTTTCAGGTGGAAATGACTCCCAGTATATATATATATATATGAAATATTAAAAGCTTCAGTCTGTATTGCCACATTTGCCATTTTCCTTTCGTGCGCATGGTGTATGTACTAAAAACACTACAGTAAGAAAACAGGATATGTGAAAATATTTTTAAGGAACTTTCTAAGTTAAGAGATTTTTCATAAATGAATATTAATATAGCAGAGCTATATTCAGCTTTCGCTGGGTTGGGGGGGCTTATTTTGATGCTGAGGAGGATTTCCTCTGTGTAACGGCGCTGAACAAGGGGAAGAGCGCAGGGATTTCACAATAACGGGTCTCATGGACAGCAGACTGAGCCAACCAGAGAGAGCCGCCTTTAACTTTGCTGTCTGCACAGGGGGTTTTGGTGTTGCATGAGCGGTTTTCGTGGTGTAAATAGCTCGGTCTTGTTTTCACGGTGTAAAACGTTTGAGTGGGGTCAGTGTACAGTTGCTGCCGTCGGCGATGGTGTGAGGACCCGCCGCTGGAAGGAGGATCTCTGGGTAAAAATGGGGATTTTTCTCCTTTTGCTGTTCTTCGCTCCGGTCAGCGGAGTTTTTGAAGGAACATGTCCCAGAAAAGGTAACCTCTCCTCTCATATTGTCTAAATGTAATTTTTTTTCTTCATCTGTTTTCTTTGTTATTAAGAATAACAAAAACTTAGGCTAATTTAGTGACAAAGTTAAAGTTATTGTAATTTAGGATTTTTTGGAGTCTAGTTTTGGAGTTAACTGAAAATCACAGCGTTTAAAAATATTTACTTCATCGAAGTTGACTGTATTATTACAGGATAATATATAAAGTAAGCTTTTTTTCTTGCTCTTTCCGCTTTTGTTCTTTCGGGGAAAATGCGTTTTTATCCTGTTGGGAAATGTTATGACGCGTTGTGGCAGCTAATTTTACAAGCTTTTTTTTATTTTGTTGTAAACTTTACATTTTATAAATATTATAGGCACAGAGTCAGGAAAATTCATATAAAAACAAACAAACAAAAATTAATCGGCCACTTCATTAGGTACACCTGTTCAAGTATGCCGGTCTTATCAGCTGAGCGGATTTACGCGTGTAGACGTGGTCAAGACGATCTGCCGAAGTTCAAACTGAGCATCCGAATGTGAGATGATGATGTAGCTGACTTTGAATGTGGCGTGATTCTTGAAAGGTTAATTTGAGTATCTCAGAATCTGCCTGGATTTTCCCACACATCTGTCTATAGGGTAAACAGAGAATGGTTCAAATAAGAGAAGATATCAGGTGAGCGACAGTTCTCTGGGTGAACATGTCTGGTTGATGCCGGAGGTCAGAGGAGGATGACCAGACTGCTTCAGGTTGATTGGAAGGAAACAGCAACTCAAATATTCACTAGTTACAACAGAAGCATGAAGGTGTATAGGTCTCTGAATGCACAACACATTGAACGTTGAAATATATAGGCTATAGCAGCAGCACATCTGTCAGCTAAAAAGAGGAAAGCGAAGCTATAATTGACAGGGCTCATTAAAACTGGACAGAAAATATTGGCTGCTGTGATGTGTCAATTTCTGCTGCACATGTGGATGGTAGGATCAGACATAAACAGCATGAAAGCTTAGTTTTTATGTGGATCTTATTTTGACCTCTTGTTTTTAATTCAGTTTACTGAAAATGTTTTGTTTTAATTTTATTTTTTTATTAGTTTCAATGTCAGTTTTAGTTTCTTTATTGACTGTTGTCTGGAAACCATATACCAGAGACAGAGAGAGCTTTTTAAAAGTAACAAGTAACAAGTTTTAAAAAAAAAAGTCAGTCAAAGCCTCATTAGGAAACTTGTGACAACAAATTTTACAAAACTAACAAATGTTAAAAGGATATTTTCTCTCCAATTTTACTTTATTTTAGTTAGTTTTCCAAGTTTACAAAATCATTTAAGCTCATTTCAATTTCTTCAAAGTCTACTTTTATTAGTAACTATTTTTTTTCACATCGAGTTTTATTTTTATTTTTAAGTTAGTTTGAATTAAGCATAACTTTCTATAGCGACTGTGTGATGCTATCATGTCAGTATGAACAGAGAAGGACTAACCCAGTACCAGCATATAACATAGTGGCTGTTGATTCTACATCAGGCCCTTATCAGCTTCAGCTTCAGTCTCCATCAGATTTATCAGATAAAGTCTTATCAGATGTTTAAAAAGACACAACGGTTAACTGGGCAAGAGCAAAAAGATTTGTTTTACTAAAGACTAAGGGGAATGAAACTATGACTTCAACCCAGTCAAGTTCAGGCAAGTCATACTAAACCAAAACATGTCAGGTTATAAGTGACTGTGTGAGGTCTGAGCAGAAAATCTGAAACATTACGGGAAATGTTAGAAATAATACAAGACTGAAAAGAAATGATGAAGATGAGAGACACGTTAAAAGAGGAAGTTGGGGTGGAGGTTATGCAATGTGTCGCTCTGTGTTGTGCCTAGTCAAATACAACCAGTACTGAAAATAATGAGAAGCTAACATTTTGTACAAAACACTGTATGAACAATCAAATCACAAACATTCCACACACACACACACACACACACACACACACACACACACACATACATCAAAAATGATTCTGGTTCTTATTAGTTCTACAGATTCTGTGTTTGTGTGTTTTTCTGCAGACCCTCCTCCAGGTGTGTTGGTCTTATCGCCGGGCTGTAAGCTGTTTCTGACCTGTGGCGGTCATGTGAGGGTGGATGGTGTAAAGATCAGTCTGAAGGGAAGCAGCTTAAACATCAACAAAAGGGATGGTTCTTCGAACGGGACACCAGCCGCTCCAAATGATATACAAAACAGTGCAGTTTCAGTCAAAAGTGATGACAGTTCTCTGAAGAATGTAAGTGAGGGCTACAGCCCTCATTTCACGGAGGCAGGAGGAAACAGAAGCCTCATATATTCAGATGCAGGGTACACAACTTCTCCTCACATCGTCCAGCCAACCAGGGCCACTCGATCGCTGAAGGACGAATCTCATTGGACCACTGGAGAAACAGATGTTGAAGATGACTATGAGGAGGATGAAGAGGATGAAGTGGGGGAAGGAGTGAACCGGGTAACAAGGGGGATAAAAGTGATGCCTGAGTGGAAGTGGAACACGATGACAGTGGGGACAGAAGACAGGGACTGGGGTGAAATTAAATTTGGGAGGAGTGGGACAACGCTAACTCTCGCCTCACTGAGAATGGAAGACTCTGGAAAATACAGTTGTCATCACAAAGGCAAAGAAAAGTTTAGCTTAAAGGTGATCGTTGCAGGTGAGTTCTCATAGTGAGGACTTTGTGATGGAGGAGGAAGGTTATATAATTCCATCCATGCTTTCATTTTCAAATAAAAAGCCTATAGGTGGAAGGCAAATGGCTTTAAAATCCATCTTTTAAATCCAGCTCAGAACTTGTATATCATTGGGTCAGGATTGATGTTGTACACACGACTCACTGATAGACAATCAGTAAACAAACCAGCGGGTGAACTGTGACTTTAAATGTTTTTGGGCAAATTTCAAATTTTAAATAGTGACACCAAAAATATTTTGCAGTTTAGCAGTTTTAGGGTCTTTACCTTGCGATGTAAAGCTTGCCTTGAGGCAACTGTTGCCGTGATTTGGTGCTATATAAATAAAATTGATTTGAACTGAACTGCTAATGCACAGCTCTCCTGAAGCCCCATCACAGCATACCAGTCAGGCTGAGGTCGGGACTTTGACTGGGCCATTGTAACACATCCATTCTTTTCTTTTTCAGATATGTTATAGCTTTGCTGCTGTGCTTGCTCGTCGTCCTGTTGCATGAGCCAGTATGGGTCAACATTTGGCTGTAAAACAGAAGGCCTCACATTTGCCTCTAGAATACTTTTTTTTTTACATAGAAGTATTCACGGTTGACTCAATATCTGTAAGGCACCCAGGTCCTGTGGCTAAATAACAAGCCCAGATCATCACTCCACTGTTGTGCCAGACTGTTGCTGATATGCATCACCAAACGTGGTGTTGTGACTATCGTCTGTCCAAAGTTCATTGTTCCCAAATTCTTCTGGTTTGTTTACATGCCACTTTGCAAATCTAAGTCATGCTGCCATGATCTTTTTAAGAGAGTAGAAGCTTTCTCCTGGCAGCCATTAAAACAACACATAGTTCAGTCTTTTTCTAATCGTGCTGTCATGAAGGCCAACAATATAACAAACTACCTGAGGGCTGTAGAGCCTGAGAGGACCCTATTTAGATAATTGATTTTTAAAAATGGATGGGTGAACAGTGTGTTTACATGTCTTCTTTATCTCTTAGATTCTCCTGAGCCTCCCAGTCTGTTCTGCTACAAAAAGTCGCCCAGTAGTAAAATCCGCTGTGAAGGAATGCCTCAGAAAGCCGCCATAAAGCAGCCTAGTTGTTACCTCTTGCTGAGTAAAAAGTACGTTCATTGCACTTGAAGTCCCCCATGAGTGCTTTGTGTTGTGTTTTAAAAGGATCATCAAGTAATATTTTGCTCCTGTATTTACATACATACAGGAAAACTGATGTGTGCAAGCCATGGATAAAAAAATGTGCATACTGTGGTTGTTCTCGATCAATATTGGTGTATGTTGCAAAACTTCTGTAATCTTGTGCAGTCAAAATGCTAACATTGCTGTTACATAAATAAATACTATTTCCAGTAAACTACTTGAGATCAAAAATGAAAAAGAAAAAAGTGTGAAAGTTGTAAATGGGCCTAATGTAGTAGAAATGTTGTTGTAGGCCACTTTCTCTTTTCCTTTATGTCCATCTTTGTGTGACTGACTGTTCTTTTCCTTTCCTTCTCTCAGTCCAAGAGAGAAATTCAAGCGAGTGTCATGCTCATACTCATCTCGGCTCTCTCGCTGTTGGTGTGCTCTGGACCACATTGAGGATGATCGGAGAACCCCTCACCTGGTCTACATGTGTGTGACAAGCATCACAGGCAATGTCACCAGCCCCCTTAAGTACTTTACACCATTAAAAATTTGTAAGTGCTCAAGTCAAAGTACATGTGTCCATGACAGGACTGAGTATTGGCCTTCTGAAGTGCTTTAAAGTTGTGCTCACTGTGTTTGTTCCCACTCCTCAGTAAAACCAGACCCTCCGTCAAATGTGTCAGTCCGACAGGAGAAAGGAAAGAAGAACAGGCTGACGGTCTCCTGGAATTTACCGACATCCTGGAAGGTGCAAGATAACTTCTATAAATTGATCTATGAAGTTAAATACAACCCTGTCAAACCGTCAATTGGCAACGAACAGGTCAGTGCTGAGACACCTGTTGTCAAACTACTAAGTGTGTATTTATTTTTTTTTTCAATGTTCATTACGCTGGCATGAAAACTCAGTTTTGTTTCAGAGATTTTTGTCTTATATGTATGTATTCAGGTACTGCCAGTTAATGGCCAGCGGCAAGCAACCATCACTGATATAATGCCTGGTGTTGACTACCTGATACAAGTCAGAGCTAAAGAGGAATTTGATGGACAATGGAGTGAATGGAGTCCATCCACCTATGCTAAGAGCTGGACAGGTAAATTTACACAAACCCAAGAAAAAAAAATCAGAAAAATGATCCATCCTAGACACAGAGTCATGACGAGGTAGTATTTCTGTTTCTGTGCCATATGATTAGACTTTCTCATGAAAAACTTTGCTTAAACATCCTCTCATGTACATTTATACAGCCTCCAATTTTTCTTCCTCTATGAATGACTTGAATATGTGCAGATTGGCTCAGCATTCAGGATACCAGTTGATGAAGTGGTTGAAAAAGTTTATGAGTAACAGTGTCCTGTTGCACCTTCCCAGATTAAATACTTCAAATTCCCTTTAAAGTCGAAGTTTAGACATGAAAGTGAAACCACTTTGTGGTCTATGTTTTGTTTTGTTCTGTTTTTATCGGTTAATCTTGCCCGTCTGTAAGTTAAGATGCCTTCTGATTGATTTTCACAATTGCTCTACAGACATGAAAGAGGAATACTAGCTAATTTCCCAAGAAGAAAACAAATAAGCATATTTTCATTTTTAGGAAAGTCTTCTGGTTTATATTAAACACATTAGTAATGATTTAAAGACTTATTATTGTACCTTTGGATAAGTTGTAATGCTCCTAATTGCAAAACATTTAATTGTGAAATGTATCTGACTAATATTTCATATTCAAGTAAATTACAGACAAATTCGTCATCTTTTAAACTAGTCATATTATTCCACATACAAGACCTTTACATGTTCGTCCCTGATCCCTCAGAGAAGCCTCAGCCTCCGTCAATCGTGTCAGCGACGTTGGAGGAAAGACAGGATATGACGACGATGATGACGGTGTGCTGGAGTTTACCGACAAACTTCGAGGAGCCACACAATTTTAGACTCATCTGTGAGATCAAATACGGGGAAACAAACCTCTCCTTTCACAGCGAAAACGTAAGTAGACAAGGTTTTACTTAGTTGTGAAAAGTTGAACACTCTGTTGTGTCAGTAAATGGAGACGTTTGCCTGTATATGTCCATCTTGGTACAGCAGTTTGAAGGAGAGGGCTCCTACACCATCGTAGTGACTCCTACACCTGACGTTGACTTCCTGATACAGCTGAGGTGTAAGGCAGAACATGATGGTCAGTGGAGTGAGTGGAGTAGACCTTATCCTGTGAGCCCCCCAACGGGTAAATAAATACGCACACACACCTCTAAAAATAAAATAAATAAGTATATTTAAGTTTATCAGTAAGTATTCTATATGCTCAATTAAAGCACAGTACAGGAGTGTAAGTTTTCACAGAAGTAGCTGAGTGGACTTTATTTGTGCTGAATGAAATTAAACTTTAAATCCTGTGACAGATGTTTAAGGGGCGCTTCTGTCAGTCTGCCCCAGGGCAGCTGTGGCTACACCACCAGTGTGTGAATGCGAGAGTGAATGAATAGTGAATGAATAGCTTTTCAAGCGCTTTGGGTGCCTTGAAAAGCGCTATATAAATCCAATCCATTATTATTATTATTATTAAGAAGTTTCTCAGTGGCTTAGGGGTTCAAGATATTGACCGTGTACCATTAGTGCACTTCCCCTCATTGTGGTGAAAAAACCCTTTCTTTTTAAACATCAGTCCAACTCTCTGTTCTCTTTAATGGTCACTTCTTTCAGCCTGTTTTTAAAATAAGGAAGAAACAGCCCTCCAAAAAAAGAGAGAGAGAAAGAGAGAAACAAGATTCTGCTGGATTAGGCACTATCATGTTGGATTATTTATAGTCTTTTTTATTTTGAAAGCAAGTGTTAGGCCATATTGACTTTTAATTGGTAAAGAATTTGTCTGCTAAATTACCCAAAACTTCTTACAACCAAAGAAGCAAGTCTTGCTGCTTGGCAACTCTGAACTAACATAGCTATAAACACCTGAAAAGTTTGCAGAATTCAGTTTAGAATAATTTTCCCCCAGGAGTTATTCCTCCCTGCTGTAACATCTCCTTGTCTGCTTATTGGGACCACTTAAACTATGTCTTATTGCAGTCTGACATAGTTCTTTAGGAAATGGACAATTTCAGTCTTTTTTAAAATTGCCTTATACAACTTTGCCTTGTTATCTCAGGTTTATCATTTATTATTATCCTACTAATATGTTTTTAAAATATATTATTTACCCCGTAGGTTCAGGTTCAGGTTCAGGTGATCAATATCCAGATGATGGTGAGTTGGCATGCAAACTGTGAAATATTACAGTTACTTATGCGTGTGTGTGTGTGTGTGTGTGTGTGTGTGTGTGTGTGTGTGTGTGTGTGTGTGTGTGTGTGTGTGTGTGTGCGTGTGTGTGTGTGTGCGAGAGAGCCAAAAGACGAGAGGGAACTCTTAAATGTTGTTAGTGCTGAAAATCCCCTCTGCCCCCTGGGTTTTAACAGGAAACCATGTCATCATAACAACTCAGGCTTGCAACAAAAACAGGCCTCAGGAGTTATGGTTCCTCACACCTACACGCAAACACAGACGTTCAGTTGCACTCAGATGTATTTAGATGGATGCTGTCTTGCTCAGTTAAGATTTATCACAGTCTACCCTTCTTTTTTACCACAGATCCCACAAAACCTCCACCAAAACCTAAAGAGTGGCCACATCATTTGCTGTGGATAGTTGGTTTATTCGCTATCTTGTCTGTCATTTTGGCCATCTACACTTTCGGGTACTGACATTGGCACTTTCAATGCATCTCTTCAAAAAAGGGCAGATTTATGACATAACATTAGTCATTTCTAAGATGTGATGTACGGTCAGCTCCTTCATTTTCATATTTCTTTTTCTTTTTTTAAATTGTCATTCAGGCACAAGGACAGATTTATCTCTAAACTGCACAGTCTTTATTTCACCACCCTCTGTGATGACTCATCTCAACCTTCGCCCTCTGTCCCGGTTGCCCCAGAAGGAGTAGCTTTGGTGACCTTTGTCCCTACAAAGAGCAACAAAGAGCACCCACCAAGTGATGAAAACGAAAGTGAAGAAAATGAGGAACAAAAGCCTTTGAGAGAGATGACAGACGCCAGGCACTTCAACAACACAAGTTATTTCTTCCTCCAGAGGGAATGAGAGCTGTGCAGAAAGAAGAATTATAGGCAGAAAATGTGGCAACTTATACTGTTGGACTGTTTTCCAGTTCCGTGCCAGTTTTATAGATGGCACGATGTTCTCCACTGAACTTTAAGAAGCAAAGTCAGAAGCAGCTTTCTGACTTTGCTTCTATCTGTCTTTATCTATCTAACTTTATCTCATACCTAAAATACCTCTTAAACACTTTTTTTGTGTGACTGGTCCAAAGAGTTGCCCTTTACCTTCTCTATCCTACATCATCCATCCAACCAAGAGGCAGGCTACACCTTGCACAGGTGGTCATTGTGTCTCAGAGCTAACACAGAGAGACAGACAACCATTGACACCTACGGCCAATTTAGAATCACCACCTAGCCTGCCACAGGGATAGCTCAGTAGGTAAAGTGGTCGCCCCATGATCGGAAGGTCGGCAGTTCGAATCCACTTAACGGCTACCCTGAGGTACCCCTGAGCAAGGTACCGTCCCTACACACTGCTCCCCGGGCGCCTGCTTAGTGGGCTGCCCACTGCTTCACTGAGTGAATGGGTCAAATGCAGAGAAAAACAAGTAATTTCCCCATGGGGATCAATAAAGTATCCATTATTATTATTATTATTATGCATGTCAGAGAACACACACACAGCATGGTGGTCTGATGGTTAGCACCATCACCTCGTATCAAGAAGGTCCCAGGTTTGAAGCTATGTAGAGTTTACTGTCCTGCATCAGAGCAACTAAAATATGTGTTATGCAGGTCAAATAATTTACAATTTTTGAGCAACCTGACCTGTCTGAATTTTGTATATATTGCTAAAGGTTATCAAATATATCACATTGTTTCCTTTCAGGGTGTTCATAATGTATGCAGGGTTTGCAGAAGTAGTGGTTGAGGTCTTGTAAATACTTCATCTGTTTGCCTGGGATTTTAGACTGGGACAGTCATAGTCCCCAACATGCTTTTGATTTTTGTAGTTATTGCACAGTGAAAAAACAACAACTTATTTTGTATAGTTTTTCAGTGACATGGTGGACTTTAAATGGTTCACCTGCTGTTATAAGAATGCAAGGGAACCTTTCAAATAAACAAATGTGAGCTACTTTTGAATAAGCTGTATGTTTCTAGACCAGCATAGATAGATAGATTTTTAAACATGTTAAAATAGTACAAAAACAACAATAAAACATAAGAATAAATAACATTAGTAGCACTTTTTAATTAATAGCAAGTCTAAATGGCATACTAAGGGGGAGTAATGATGTATAAATGATAAATCAGGCACTTGCTAATACCTTACTAATGCTTAATAGTGTGACATTTATATAAAGTGAGGAGGAGGAGGACATGTGTGGATTCGTTTTTGTTTTTTATCCTGTTCAACCACAAATCCTTATTTACATTTTACCACATATATTTGGTTCTGTAACCCCAGTAACATGCCAAGAGATATAAATATTTACATATATATATGTAATATGTAGGCAATGCCAACATATACAGTGCTTAACAAATGTATAAACAGTTGATGAAAACGGTTGCCTGTCAGAAGATGTTGTGAAGGCGTAATTGTGAGAATGAGATGGCCAAGGAGCAGTGGGGCAGTTTTGGTGACTTCATATCCAAATGATGGGTATATAATATGTCAAGCATATCGATCTGTCAAGAATGATACTAACTCGTTTTGAGCCGGAGAAAAAAATAGTCGTCACAAGATAGAAGATGTAATCGGTTTTCCAGGGGGTTCCAAATAAAAAGTGTCACTGACATTTAAAAAAAAGTATTTTTCAAGAGAAATCTGGCCAAGAAGGCAACAGAAATTGCAAGGTATACATACATAGTGTCACTGTTCTGTAACGTGGCCAAAAAGGGCTGGATGGATTGTAATAAAGATGGTTTCAAAGCAGGATATTTCTTCGTTTAATATATAACCCCTTTGTAGATCATGTTTACTGCAGCCTATTTAAGCAAATAGATCACAGATTTCAAAAGCGAGAGAGAGAATTAAATCGTTATTTAGTAGTCAATCACTTTTTTGCACAGCAACGGCTCAAACGTGGTATTGACGTATGCCGCCACCTCGCGGACACTGCCGTTCATTGTGTACGGTACTTCGTTTCCATAGCAACCGTTACTGCCAAACCACTGTGTTAGCAACGGTTGACTCGTGCTTATCGTGACTTCAGGGTTCGCTGTAGATTTGCAGTCAGTGAACACTGCAGGGTTCGCACTTTGACAGAAATATAGCATTTTCTTAGAGAAATGATGGCTGAGACAGGCGGTGTGACCAAGCTAGACGTCTCTGTACTAAACGCTGAGCAGCAAGAGAAACTGCGACAGTTTAAGGTAACGTGTTGCATTTCTCAACGCTAAAATACCACCTTTATTTGTAAGCTATGTCCTGAAATGCTTTTCGCATTGACCCAGATCAAGACGAGAATCGACAACGAGAGGTATTTGAGGTCGCATCCCGAAGTAGACGTACTCATAGGCGACTTTCTAAGGTGTGCTCAAGTTCACATTAATATCACAAAAATACATGCTGAATGGGGAAAAATGTTTGTGATGTTTTATTGTTGAACTTAACACTGTCTGCTTTAAGTTTAATTTTGTTTGTATTTATTTATCTTACAGCAAATGTTACATTTCTAGGGTAATATGCAAACTTTCATTTTATTTTCACTGTGTATAAAATATTATATTAATAACCTCTGTACATTCAGTGGAACCAGCTACCCTTTCAAAGAAATGTATGAAAGATTACAATGTATTTTACAATATAATAATACAATATATGTATACCCTGAAAAGGATTTACACCAATATATGTACTGCAATATGGTTTCTGCTATTCAAGCTTAGTCTCTGTATCATATTTTTAACACATGTTACAACCTCAGTATTAAAATCTGAGTTTTCCCTGCTTAAATTGATTTTGGAGCTGCCAAAAAAGGTTTTAACAGCCTCAAAAAATAAAAAAAATAATTCAATAATTCTGGAATAATTAATCTAATATCCGAGCAATAAATGGGAAATATGTGCAGTGATTTATTTAAACATGCATGTGGATACAGTATGGAGCAAAGTACAAACGATTTTACAAAAGTTTTCTTGTAATTTTGTTAAGTAGTATTCAGGAATAGTTTTTCGAGGCTTCTTTAGGACATCCCAGAGCTCTACTTTAGATATTGTCTGCCTTTTGCAACTAACAAATAAACAAACAAACAAACTTAAAATAACCATTCTTTTGATGGACTGACAATGAGCCCAAGTCCAAAGAATAATTTTAAAAGGCCTCCAAACAGCCCAAAGCTTAAAGCACCATCACTCAAGTCTACTTGAGCAATAATTTGTCATTTGCCACCTCTCCTCACAGGGATGTGCTTCACAAACAGCCAGCTGACATCCGTGAGTTTGCTGCAGGTGAGTTGTGTGCAGTGTGCATCAACACCAAAAATGGCCAGTTGGTCACTATTATTTATTTTCACATTCATCCTTTTGCCCAGTGTTTAGTTAGTGAATAAATATAAATACATATTTAAAGTCTGCCACGTTTTTTTTTTTTACAATTTCTCTCTTTTGTTGGACTTTTTCAGATCACTTCTCAAACCCAAACCTTGAAGAAACTATTCTCCCCAAAATGGAAGGAAACAGCGAGACAAACTAAAACACTTCCAACAACTTCACCTATGTTTTCTCTATATTGATAAAAAAAATTTATGGACTATGTTTTTTGGAACAATGATGCTGCTTCAGTTGCTCCATTGTCCAGTTTGTGGACAAGGGTCCTAAAGGGTTTTATGCTTATTTATTAATCAAAATCCTTAAATGTATAATTACCTTGATATACCTTGAGTGGTATTAAATATTTTGTCACGTCACCACAAGTATTTATATAAATTACACAATAAAATGTTTTTTAAAGCCACGATCCACACTCTAGAAAGCCATACTGACAAGAAAATGCAAATTATTGGTTAACCTGGCTGATATACAGGAATTATTTATCAGTCTAACCCTTGAAGACAATTTAAGATAAGCTTGTCATATAGTTGTTAGCAGAATACACAGATCTAGCACAACCTGCCTAACAATAACATAATAAAAATTTTCAAAAAATAAGTGTTTAAATACAAGTATCTTTAGATGCCTAACTAACTAAATTTTACAGCTGTAGCATAAGTTTAAATTAGTTTAATTTTAGTTATTTGGTTGTTTATTAGACTAGAAAGCAGAAAGAAAGCACTAATACCACTAATATAATTAATGTAAACCTTTGGTTAAGCAAGGGGTCGTGGATATTAGGAATCAAACACAGACACCTAAACCATTTTTAAATTTAAAGAATCACTTTTTCCTCCTTCACAGTGTAAGTTCCATGTGCATTGGAGGTGGACAGAAACTCTTTCCAGGTAGGCGGGCCAGTTTATGATAATCCTTTTACAGTGAAAATAGGATCGACTTGGCTAAACCAAAAAATTACAGAAGGTAAAAAAGTATAGGCCAACTTACTGCATTTATCTGGTGCTTCTTTTCTTTTTGGCAACTATTCTCTGTGATTATTTAAATCTTTATAGACAGATTTTCTATTGTTTGAATGGTACTGCCAGTAACAGTAAGCTAATAAATAAAGGTAATATTAGCTAACTTAAAAAAAACAAGCAAAGTAAAGAATTAATTCGGCAGCCATAAGCAGAAAAAAGTTGGACAGCTGAAGGTAAAAGACATTAAGCAAGAATATTTGCATTATTAACTTTTTTCACCTTCCTATAATCTTTACAGGCATTTTTTGATGTGTAACAATAGGCTAATAAGTAAAAGATAGCTCGTTAGCTTACTTAGCTAAGTTAACAGAAATTTGTTTTAACATAGAGCAAGGAGCTGGTGGCACAGAAATAGTGAAGGTAAATGGATCAATGTGAGCTGAATACACATGAAATAAAAACATCCGTATAAGTTCTTTATTGTTCTTGTAACCATTTCAGTCTTTTTAGGTGTATGTGGAAAACGGCTAATGGTAATAGTAGGCTAATGAGTAAACATTTGCTAACCCGTAACTATTAGCTCATTTAGCTTATGTTATGTTTGGAAATATTAGTAAGTAAGTATTTAATATTAGTAAATGTTAAATTAAAAAATTTGAGCTTAACACTTGACCAGACTTAAACTGACATGAGTGCGATTACTTGGTTGGGGTGTGTTTTTATTTTGATGTCTATTTCCGTTTCTAGTTTGGTCTAATTTGAAGAAGAGTTAAGAAGGAATTCAATTTAATTTCTTTATTGATTTTAACATAACAGTTAGGTAATAGTGTAATTATATTTTAACGAGAAAAGGATGTCCATCTGATGTATTATTGTAAAGAGACAAGGATTTAATTGTGCCCCATGTGTGATTTGCTTTAATCCCATTTGAGCTATTTAAGCTCAGCTACATGGACTTCTTTGAATACTGCTTGTTAGGAACTAGTGAGGCAACTGCACAGTGCTCAGTGCTCTAGATATTATGATCAATCTTAAAAAATATTATTGCTCTAGTGTCCTGTCAGATATTTTAATTACTTAATAGTAGATGGGTGAGCTATTTACTGTTTTTTTAATAGTAGCCTTACCCACCAGTGGCAGTTGTTTCATATTTATGTGCTTTCGCCCTGGAAAATGTAAATAGTCTTTTTTTGTTTTGACTTCACATTTTTATATGAAAAATACTTGTATATGAGCTGTGGTATGTTTATCTTAAATACAATTTAACTGAGATATTATCATGACATAAACTCTAAATAAACATTGTGCTTCACTGAATTTATTAGAATAACAGATTCAGAGTTACCAATTATTACTTTTTTTAATGATTTGTGAATGATTTTATTCATAACTTTTAGGTGAATTAATGTTCTCTTCACCAGACCTTATACGCAATTACAGCACTTAATTTTTGTTGACACTTGCTACTAATGTAATTTAACTAGTATACGTGCACAACAGATGAGAATTACATGATATACATACATGCCCATACATGATATGATCAAAGCTCCTGGACCACTCACACATTAGACTTATTCCAGAGGAGGTTTGGAGGTCTGCAGTTAGGCAATAGGCACGCACTTGTTAGCCCTGCTCTGAAACTTTAAGCCACCTCAGCAGCAACTTTGCTTCTTTATGGTTGAGCTACTGTGGTTCCTAAATGCTTCCACTTTGCAATTTCACATATCGTTAATCGAGGAGTATCTAGGAGACAGAAAATTTCGCAAACTTGTTGTAATGTTGGCATTGTATTATAATGCCACACACAAATTCAATGAGCTCTTTTTAATTACCCATTCTTAAACAAATGTTTGTTAAAGCAGAGTGTTTAAATGCTTGATTTTGTCCACATACGGTTTTCTATATAGTTTATGCAAACAAATAACAGAATTTTATAAGACCAGATTTATATGTCACTTCACAATTTACCCATTGAAGTGTCCTCTTTCAAGGTTTTTCTTCTGTAGCACGATGTTTGTTTGATTCATACTTGATAATAACTATGCAACTCAATATAATGGCAAAGTAAACAATAATAGACACACATGCAAAAGTTGTAGTAAGTTTCAGTAAGCTGCAGTACCAGCAGAGAGAGATATTTTATTTTGAACATGAAAATATCACAGAAAAGTGTTTAAATAGACATTACCAACAGCGACTTCTTGGCTTTGAATATAGTATCTCCCCCTGCTGGTACTGCAATTTCTGCATGTGTGTCCATTTCACACTTAGAATAGGCAAAGTGTGAAATGGACATGGTGGACCAGCATGTCTATTAGATGCTTTGCTGTGATATAGGATTTAATTATGAGATATACTGTGTATATATAAAATGTGAAAGTTGATGTTTCTTTTTCTTGTGTGATTGGAGGAACTTAAGAGCTTAATCGCACCAGACACGCCGTAGCACGTTGTAAAATAGTTAGGAGGTAGTAACTGTGGGGTGACAGTTCTAATTTTGCTTAATGTTTTCTTATTTTTTCTAGAACTGCAATACACACATGATTGATTGGAAAAATCTGAGTTACATGAATGTAATAATGAATACTCAGCGGTGTTAGCAATGAGTAAAGACAAAACTGTTTTGACTTATTACTGAGGTTTTGCCTGAAGAATCAGAAATTTTGTGAATTCAACGTGAAACTTATTTTGATTGTTAAAAAAAGCAAATACACACACACACACACACACACACACACACACGCACACACACACACAGTGCTGTATTAATGCCGTCCCCCTGCTTTGACTGTGTCAGTTACAGGTGGACATCCTCCCAGATCACATTAGTCACGAAGTACAGGCACAGAGGACGAACACTCTTATGCTTATGCATCCTGTTTTTTCTCAGATCTACCAAGGAGAAGACTGGTAATCTGTAAGTAACAACTAATTTATATATTCATAAGTTGCAAAAGTTATTATTTTTTTTCTTTCTCAGTTCTTGTAATACTATTATTTAAATTTAACTGTAAACCTTTACAGATCTGGCACAGATGAACATTTATATTTTAATGTTTTGTTTTTCTCGCTAATAGATGATATAATAGTAAAGAAAAGATATGCTCTAAATCCTGCTCTTACATACACACTGTTGAGACTGCGTGGTTAAAACACTCATTTTTGTTCTAATACTCTTTTCATTCTTTATTATTCATAATCTGCTGAAATATTTAAATAAGAAGAAAAATCTCTGTAAAGTAAACAGTGAATTCAACATAACAGTATACAAATGTTGGTGAAGGGAAATCCTAATGAATGTGAACCAAATACATTAAAAAAAGGTAAAAATGATAGGACAAAAGAAGAGAAGACAACAACGTGGTGCTAAAATATTGTTCCACAGTACATTGCGTACATTACCAAACCTGTTTTTCACTGCAAGTTATCCTCCAAAGTCCTCAGAGATTCCCAAAGGATGAATAGCTCACACGGTTACTAGGAAAGTGTGATCATAAATCCTCACTGGAGGAAGTATATCACAAAACTGGAGGTGGCTCACATAGAGACAGTTTCAACAACAAGTGAAGACCAATGAGGATTAACTGCATGCAACTAGAAGTGAAATTAAAGCCCAAGAAAGAAGATCTGTGCCAAACATGCCATTTGTGTTCATGTTAACACATTATGTAATACCATCCTGTCGAACAGACGCACAGCCTATCCACATGGCTCCGAAGGGAGGAGCCTGTTTGGTTCTGCTCATCTTGGCCTCTGCAGTTTTCGGTAAGCTCCAAAAACATCACACTCAGTATACCCGTTTTACCCCTTTTTTATACTATATGTTTGTTAATGTAAATATGTGTTCTCATAGGCACATAAACATACATGTATGAATGCTATTAAAAGTGTGTGTTCATTAATACACACCTTTACGTGTCTGCCTAGCTCAACTTCCACATATGGGGCCTCAAGAAAAAGCTGAGTTAGAAAAAGTGACTGAAAAACTGGTAAGGTGTTTTCTGAATTTCACGTCAGTAGAAATTTATTTTTCAGGCTTAAGAGTAGGGCTGGAGCTGTCAGTTATTAAATAATTAAGTATTCTCATCAGTTTATCGAGTTATCCGATATTGAATATTTTTTATAAAGAAAATGGGGCCAGTGATTTTATTTTTTTTTTTTTCTTCATCAGATGAAGAAGTGCTACTATAGAGGTAAGAAAACTTTCAATACACTTTTTAAAGAGAAGAATGTGTATGTGTGTAAAGTACACCCTCTTTCACATTTTTATACATCACTGCGTAATAAAAATAATCTGTTCATTAAAGAGTCTTTAAGTTAGGCAAACACAACCTCATATGTACAGCAACGCATGACACATTAATTACAAAAGTACACCCTTACTGCTTCCATAGGAATTAAGAGGATAAGTCCTACCAGCCTGGTGCTTCAGCTGCCCTTACTGACGCAACCCCCAAAAAGGGATTCGTGTCTCCGACTGGAATCGAACCAGCAAACCGATCATTCTTCTGTGAAAAACATTGTTCACAAGTGTAATACAGTGGTCCCTCGTTTATCGTGAGATGTACGTTCTAAAAATAACCCGCGATCTGTGAAATCCCAACTTTATTTTTTACATTAAAACCCCTCACTACACACTTTATACAGTTTTCTCAGACAGGCTCGAAGATTTTCACACTTTTCTCTCTTGTTTAAAGACCCTCACAGTTTAAGCCTTCGTAGAAAAATAAGTCCAGTATTATATAATGAAACCAAAGATCAAACCCTGTTTTCAGGTCCAGAACATGGGAATAGAGCCTCAGTGAGAGAATTCAAGATTAACAAATCAATGATATGGACGTTGAGGAAGAAAGAAGAATGAGTTGAGTAAAGTTTGACTGATCTGACTATTTTGTTGCTTAATGCGTCTCATACTGTGGTGCCTTATGGTCTGAAAAATACGCTAACTTCCACCTTCCTTTAGCATGTCTAGAAGGCTAACCTTTTGTGCGATGGTTAGCATCGTCCTCTGCCTTTTGGGTGCTAGCGCAGGTACCTTTGATAGTGAAAAAAACGTTTCGTCAGCATTGTTGTGTTTGTGAGGGAGAAAACTTACAAACATACAGTACAGCACTTCACAGTCACACTGCTAGAGATAGAAGATTTATATAAATTTGACAAGCTGAACACATTCTGTACTGTACAGGGGACACGGCACGGAGGAGATTGATTGACAATGGTCTACAGCCGACCAGGACGCAGAACACAAAGCGCTGTAAACAACAAAAAATCATGCCAAAAAAAGATCCGCGAAAAGTGAACCGCATTATAGCGAGGGACCACTGTACGTTCAACATAGTTGCCAGTCCCAGGAGTGAATTCCTCTGCAAAATGAATAGCTTCATTAAAAAATTAACATGTATAAAATCTTGGAACTGACACAGGGTGTACTGAAGCTGAACCTTAAAATGTTTTGTTGGAGTAATTGTAATGTAACTCCAGTCACCATGCTGAATTGGCGTCAGTGTGAGAGTGTGAGTACCCTGACCACATTCTGTAATATGAGCCACAACTGATATGTGGCAAATGGTTTGATTTTACAGGATACCCAGAGCCTAATTTGATGCAGGTCAACAGTGTCTTCAACTCCAGGTAATTCGTTTTTGTATTTTGTTGCTGTCCTGAAGAATCAAGTGGTCACTTCAGTTATCACACTTATTTGGACTGTTGTGTAATATTTTTCTTTATGCTTATCCACTTTTTGTCGTCACCCCACTGAAACTCTTTGTGATTTCCATAACTCAAGAAAAAAGTCACCGTAGATTTTCAAATTGATACCATAGATGCATCTACTAAAAATTGCAGACAAGCTCAAATCTCAGTGACCTCGACTTAAAGGTCAAAGGCCAGAGGTCAAGTTTTCTGAAAATGTTGTGAATGCAATAACTCAAGAACGAGGCAATGTGGGATTTTTAAACTGATACCATAGGTGCAGCTACTATAAATCTTGGACAAGTTTGAATCTGAGTGATCTCGACCCCGAGGTCAGAGTGAGTTTTCTGTAAGTCTTTTGAACGTGATAATTGGGAATGATTTAGTTCTCTTGTCTTTTTTGTCCCTCAAGTTATTCTTTATCAATTTTGTGCATAAACAAGGAAAAGAAATGTAACTAACCAACTAGTCTAAAACTTGGAGACATACTCCTTCAACGCTTATCTGCCGTTAAACCTAAAAATGAGGATTCGGTCCCAGCTAGTGAACTTCAGAACAAGGTGACATAAGATTTTAAAATTGGTACCATACATGTGTCTACGAGGAGGCTGAGGGATAACACTGGTGGTTGCCAGTATTTTCATAAATAAGTGTAAAGAAAATATTTGCTTTTGCTTTTTGCTGCAAAATGTTAGTAAATAACTTATTGATAAGCTATGACATTGGTATTTAACTCCATCTTAAGAATATGGTTTTGCCTGGTCAAATGTGTCTAGTTAATCAAAGGATATTTGGTATATTTCATATGTGAAAACATTTATTCTCATCAGCTTTTATTTGCTCTCTCATTAGCCTTAGTGGTTCTGTGCAGAACAGAGATGCTAACCAGTCGAACGCCCTCCTTTCCACTTTTCGTCATCTCCTGACCTCAGTCACTACAGGAACAAACATGAAGTCATTTGGTCAACTCCCCGTGGATATTTCACAAAAAATGGTTTGAAAATATAAACATCCATACACCCATAATCACACATACTGTATAATCTATCTCCATTTCCTTAAAAAATATAGCCTTTTGAAATCGGATGATTCTTTTTGATGCACTCTGTATTAACTGAAACATGTAATTCATTTTTTTATGAGTACCAGGTTAGTCATTAAAGTCACTGATTATTTAAAGCAGCGCTTATTGTCTTATTAATAGTCAGTATGAATTTTTTGTTGTGCAGTTCTGACCGTTAATGTTTTTTCTGTCTGTCTGTTAATAGACTAACCAGATGTGGAATTGCAGCAATCTTCCAGGCATGATTGAGGTGATGAGAAACTATTCTGGTGGCATATCAAAGGCAAGGGAAACCCTCCCCCCAAAAAATAAATGCAATGGATAAATTGTTACTGTTTTTTAACAGTCTTATCATGTCTGCCATCTATCCTTTTCTCCTAGGAGGATTCTGGATGTTATATGCAAGCGTTTGCAGCCCCTCTTTCCTGGGCAACTTTGACCACACAGGATAAAAACAGCATGGACTCAAATGACTACAGAAAACTGATGTGGGCTGTTACACCTATGGCGGGGCTTATGCCCTTCCTAAAAACAAAACTTCTGATGAACGTAGATATCCCAAAGCTAAAAAACATGTGAGTATGCTTTTATGGAATAATATTATCTGGCTTTTTCATAACCTTTCCTATAAATAAACCTGGTGTTGTTTCCAGGATGGACATGTTGAAGAGTATGTATGATCGCATACCTCCTGGTCAAAGGACTCGTGTGGCTGAATGGGCGAAAGATCAGATCACCCAAAACTACTTCAACTGTTCAATAAAGCCATGGGTTTACGCAACATTAAGTAAGAAAAGTCAGAAATCAATTGATAAAATCTATGTACACACATACAGTTCTGTTAGCATAACTTCAGAGGCTATTACAGTTTGATGGCATTTTTTATGTGAGAAAAACTGTAAATTGACTCATGTTACTTACGTTGGGACTTCCATTATACCCAGAACCTGCAAAACCCTGACTCTGATCTATGTTAAACCTTAATTTGTAGTTTTATCCCATTTGAACAATTTCTGTTTCAATTTAGTAAAATTTAAATGACCATACAGACAGATCCACCAACACACCACAGTCTCGCAAATACATTTTAAGAGGCAATTAAGATGCCTTGTTTTCTACCTCATTTCTCTCGTTGCGCTTCTGATAAGTATAAATGTGCATTGTAAAACCTTGATTTATTAATAGAGCATGTGGATATCTGCTCCCCTTCACTGGAATGGCTGAATTTGGAAGCACTGACTATTTTGGGACCCTACCTGTCCTATTTACCACCAAGTGATGTTAATTATTCTTCTAAAGTAGAGGTAAGAGAAGGATAAAGAAGAAATAAGACATGGAAGAGAAAAAAACAACAAGGTTATAATTTTTTCCTGGTTGGTCTGCTTTGCTTTGTCTTCTAGCTATGCAAGTTTTTCTCTTCAGCTAAGTTCAAAACCACGATGAACCCCACTCTGAGTAAGAAGTTGCTCCATAGAATCCAAGAGTGCTTCAGTTCACAGGAGTTTCCAGAGCATGTGGAAAAGTGTGTATACATTATTGATGTACATTAGCAGGTGCAGGTGTTAACAGTAAAAATATTGATTTGTCACTATGGGGAAAGCCCAGAGTCTTCTTCTTTTTTGCTCTAACATGTCAGCTGTGAAAGAAGTGATAAGAAGCATTTCAGGAAAAGGATCTAGTTGTACATAACATGTCATGTCATTTTTTAAAAGACTGCCGAGTGGTTTTACTTTACCCGCTACATACCAAAATAACACAACATCACTGAGGTTTCTGATCTTAGATCTTATAGGGACAGAAAGAAACACAAGGTTTCACACAAAAATGTGTGAAGGATTTGAAATAATCACTACGTTGTCTGGTATTTGAATCTCCACAGACTTGGCCCACTGGCTTGCTATTATGATCCCCCAGAGTTGAATGCTAACTTCAGTGGGAAACTCCTCTCTCAACTGGACCAGTGTGACAGCTCCCAAATCAAAGGGGTATTTTTCACTTACGCTTACCCAAACTTTCACATTTATCTTCTTTGATCAAAGAGTTGAATTGTTTCTTGAATCTCAATAGTGTCATAATTACTCGTTCTCTCTTTTATCCTTCCCAAAACACAAGCTGAAGACACGGCTTCTCAGTTCTCTGAGGTCACTGTCAAGCCCTGCTCAAATAATACGAGACTTAAGCAGTACTGTTACTGCATTGTCTGCCAAAGAAATTGCTGCAATCCCTGCCACCAGTCTCACACAGGCTCTCAAAAATCTGGGACCCAACATCCGATGGACAAGGAGCCAGCTGCATGCTCTTATCGAGAAACATTTGGGTGAAAAGAAAGTGGGTGGATTCAGCTGACGGCTTGTGTCAGATAGCTGTCCTCATTGCTTGATACTTACCTCATTCTGTTCCGCCTCAGTGTAAACAGATATCCGGGATGGAGCTGATGAAACTTCAGCCCGTTGCAGAAGGTTTGCCAAACTGTATACTGAAACAGGTAAAAGCTGTAGAGGTCCTGAATGAGCCAGAGGGCCTAAAGAACATCTCCAAACGACTGAGCAGGGGACAGCTAATGGCCATGCTGGTAGGGGTGAGTTCTTCATGTTTCTTCATTTCATCACACCAAATACATTGTGTCTTAAACAAAAAGTATGTATTCTTTCTTTGATTTAATTTCTAAACATATTCTTAAAAGAATTAAATGTTTTCCTGTAGATGCTTAAGGAAATGCATCCTCCTGCGCTGGTGCCAAAGTTGTCTTCCCAGTTACTTAACGTCGTTTCTATTAACATTTTGGCCGATGCAAATGTCACCTCTTTGGACCAAGTGACAAACAAAACTTGGACTAGGTCACAGGTAGTGATGCTAAGTATGCCTTAGGCAGCTTCTTTGTATTATTTTGTTGAGTTTTCTAATTTATTTACTGTTACCATCCATGCATTGCTGTAGTAAGTATATGACTGATTTTGTGATTTTCTCTTTTTACTCAAAAAATGGTGCCACTTGTGGTGTGTTCTTACTCAGGCAGCATACCTGGCAAAGAAGATGGCTGACCTAAAACAGCTTCAATTTAGGTGAGAGAAGTATGCTGCTGACAAAATATCTGAAACTCTTTTTGGCAAAAAAAAATCCTTCTAATAGAAAAACAGAAAGTGCATCCAAAGAATTTATTCACCTAATCGTTTCTACAGTTTTTGCTTAAAGCACTTGACTTTATTACTTGATTCATCAGCAAATCTCAGAAATATTTCTCTATACCTGGATATTTGCCACAAGTGGTAACATGACTTAACTGTAACAGAAAACATTGTATTCATTTAAGATTTAGAGCTCTCTGTCTAAACTTGTCCATATAGGTTCTTGCTGAAGCACCTGAATTGGCCTATTGACTCACTGCCACCCTCATGGATCATTTTTATTGGCAGTCCTTTGACCTTTTTGAAGGATTACAAGTACAGAGAGAATACATTACTGCCTTAGAGCAACCTGTCAATGTTATTGCTTTTCATTGAATGCGTAATGCACGTGAACAGATTGCAGAGCTTATAAATAGTACAAATATGCTGCTGAGATTGTCACTGCAAATATAAGAATAGACCCAAGTTTTTATGTTTATGCAAAGTCTGACAAATATTTGTACACAGAAACGGTTCATAGAATATACATGCATATATATATATATATCTATATATCTATCTCTATAGCTATATAGATATATATAGATATATATATATACATATTAGTGCTGTCAGCGTTAATCTTGTTAAAATAACTGCATTATTGCGGCAAATCTCCATTAACGAGTTATTGCGGATCGCCCTGTGCGTGGGGCTGCACGGCATCAGTGTGTTGGCACAGTTAGCTCGTTAACGCATTAGTCTACAGCTCTTTGGCCCTCACTTTCTGCCATGTAAACGCAAGTGTTTCACTTACATTTGTGACTTATTTGATCATATCTAGGAGCACCTGTGTGAATGCAAAGTACAACCACATTAAGACCAAGAGCCCCCAGTACTGATATGTTTTTTTTTCTGCAGACTACTATAAAATCTAATTCACTGCACCATAAATTTCCTTACTACTTAATTTTATTCATTTAGTTGTTTCTGTGAAGCTCTTTAAGATTATCGTGTGATCTTTACCAAAGCCTTTAATGCAGGTTTACAATTTTCTTTGGTGCTTAAGTTATTGTCATGTTCTTGTTACTGTGTTTGTTGCTCCTTCATCTGAAACATTGTTGTCTAACACAGGAAGATGCGTTCGGTCCTTCAGGGCATAACCTGTAAGATGATTAATGAAGCTCCTGACAGCGGTGTAATGGAAATGGCTTTGGCCATGGCAGAGTCTCCAGAGTGGCTCTCCAAAGTTCAGGTAGGTATTTACTCACACATAAACATCTTGTCTTTACATAGTGTGTGCAGTCCGCACAGAATAACTATTATAACAAACATGTTTCTAGGCAGGATGTGCTGCCAAAAAACTTTTTGCAACTTTGGTGAAAAAGAGAGCAGACTATTTCAAAACCATCACTGAACAGGAACTGGATAAGATTCCTTCAGCTTTGCTTCTTCACCTGCTGTAAGCAAATGGTGTATTTACTAGTTTAAAGTTTGTTTAGATTTTTTTAAGTTTGTGTTGAAATCTGTTTTCTCATTCCTTTTATCGTAGCCCTTCAGATGTGGACGATTTGCCTAGTTCTGTCTGTCCTATTTTCCTTGACAAGATGGAAGAAGCCAACATCAGCTCTTTGCCTCTTAATTCCCCGTCTCGTCCTGCACTCACCAAGAAAGCCCTGTTCTGCCTAACCAATGTACACTCAAGGATACACATAGTAACAATAAGTATTATCTGATAAATTGATCCGCTTGTTCAACAGCAGTTAGAGATGTCTGCTGTGTTTTTGTAGGGGACAGATTTATCCAGCCTCACCGGTGGTGATCTGCCCAAGCTAGGGCCCCTCGTATGTGAGCTGCAGCCTTCCCAGCTGCGTCTAATGAACCCTGATGTCCTCAACTCCGCTTTCCAGGAGATGGCTTCCTGCAAACATATTCCTCAACAATACAGGGCAGATATCATTAAGATGGTTCACCAGACCTTTGGGTAGGACACCCTCCTAATGAGCATTAAAGTTAATACAAAGAAGGACCATAGACTGTATATAAAAGATGCACAAAGCTTCCAGAAAAGTTATGGTTCTTACTGAATATAACATGAAGTTTTTATATATATATATATATATATATATATATATATATATATATATATATGCTTTCTTTTTGAGTGAATAAGGGGAACAAAGCCAGTGTGCTTTGTGTGTGTGACATCCAGCTTACATACATACATACATACATGTTTTGTATAGAGCCAAACAAAAAAGCTAAAGTAGTAGTCTTGTGTACTTTTTTAAAACATCTGTAGAAATTCTTCTGATTGGACCGAGGACACTGTGGAATCAGTCGGTCCCCTTCTTCTTTGTGATAAGGTTGCCACGTCTGCTCTACCCAACAAAGTGCGTATCTGCCTTGTCCATTACATGCAGCTCATCTTGTGTTTGTTTTTGTCATGTTCATTATTAAGTCACTCAGAACTCAGAAGTGACTCTCCTGCTTGTGATTAAAAATGGATATATATTTTCAGTTTTTCTTGATGTTGTCCCTCTCTGTATCTCCGTTAGCCTTGGATGAAGGATGTTCTTCGTTACATAAAGTCACTGTCCTCTGATCCTTCAGATGCCCTGAAAAAGAAAATCTTTGCTCTTACCACCACTAGATCAAATGCAACACGTAAAAAGAGGGGTGAGAAGGAGGCGTGCTTTATCTGTTTTGCAACAATTCAGTTTTATATTTCTGTTTTTTGTAGTTCTTGTGTCTCTAACAGCAAGAGCAACACTGATCATGGTAATAGCAGCGTAACTTTTTATTTGAATCTCTGCCACAGTTTAGTTTTTAGTTTGAATTAAAATACATTTTATTTAAAGTGGTTTTTAAAAAGCCTTATGATTATATTGTCTATACCTGTAGAGATCCTGAGAGAACCCACTGAGAATTTGATTCAAGAACTGGGAATGGATAATGTGTACTGGTCAGCAGGAGAGCTGGATAAGATGTCAAACAGCACTTTCCTGGCCACTGTAGAAATACTTGGAGAAATCCCGAACTACAGTGCAGATCAACTGGCTGTGCTCAGCAAAAAAGCTACTGAGGTACAGTGAGACACAGTCATCTTGGTTTCGTTCATTCGCCAGTCTGTTTTTTCTTTCCAGCATTTCTAGTTTGAACAGTTGGCTTTGATTCGGGCACTCACAGTGAGATTGCCACAGTAATAAAAAGTTATTGTAAATCAAGGTGGAACATAAAAGTTTTTTTCCACTTTCCCACAATTAATAATAATTAATACAGCTTCACTAATGAAAGTTAAGGTGTACATTTTGAATATCAATATTTTAATATTATTGAACCAAGATCCAATTGAGCAGTTATTATCCCTGTTTGTCTTAACTGATAAACTGACCTAGGTATAATTTGCTCCGCAGCTTAATGGAAGTTAGAGAGGAATAACGTCTGTGTAAATATCCAAACAAATAAAACGCTGCACTCTTCTGGTGTCAAAATTAAAACGCAATCTGTAACTTCTTAAGGTTGCATTTGCTGGTCTGTATGTAGAAATCCTATATTTAGTTATTTTGTGTTAGTGTGAATATTTCTGTATATTTCTTTAGGCTTTTGGCCCCGTGTCACAGATGAACGAGGGCGTGGTCATACAGCTTGAATGTATAAATCAGGGTTTTTCTAATTCTGACCTGGAGAATCTCCCCTTGCCAATGGATATTGTAGAGGGAATTTCCCACTGTGGGTGGACTCAATCACAGGTGAAGCATAGAAACAGCATTGCATGCTCACCGCTATATCGATTACACACATGACATGACTCATGTGCCAATAGATGGAGTCGTTGTGGAGGGGAATTGCCAAATATAACAATCTGAAAGCGCAGCAGCTGGGAGCTGCAGAGATGGTATCACTGAACCGGCTCATCTGTGGCCTGAGCTCCAGCGAGATCAAACAGCTCAACATCAGCGCCTTCAAGTTTGTCCACCGCACATCTCACTTTTCATTTTATTTAAGTCACCCATTTTTCCAGGCTCTTATTTTCACAGATTATTTTTTGTTAATCTAATGATCCGTGACTGCCCACAGCCCATCTCCTCCCACCTCTGCAACAGTAGTGAAAGTACTTTTGAGAAGTGAAAATTCAAGTGATATCCTGTCATATGCAGATAAAAGAAATCTTAACCTCTGCCACTCATTCAAGACTTTTTAAAAGTTTCTTTTTTTTTTATTTTTAGCTGTGATGTCTTCTTATTTCTGAAGCAGTGATCATAAATAGTTCATAAATACTTTCTTTCTGGTCAGGTGCATAAACAAACCTTTTTTTAGAGTAGACTCGTTCACAGGTAGTGATGCTAAGATTATTTTAACTTTAAAGAGCTGCACAATGATACAGAGTCACAATTGCACGATGTGTGAAAGTTTGTGTTTGTCACAGGAGGGCTGTGGGCTCGATGGATGGTATTAAGTGCTCCTTTCAGATTTTACAGCAATTAAAAACTCTAGCTGTGGCTGCATTTGGGAAACCCAGCACCTGGACAGAACCACAGGTTGCAGACTTGGGCAACATACTTGGTAAGATAATATCTGCAAACAAAAAAAACCCCCATTGGAATATTTCATAGAAATACCTGTAAAGTGTCACCTGGGAGAGAAATTAGCTTTCACTTTTGGTAATGTTTTCATCTGTGTCCCTAAGCTGGGCTGGATGCATCGGAGCTGGCTTCTTTGGACCCATCTGTCTTTCCATTTGTCAGCAGGACGTGTATCCCACTCATCCCTCCAAACAATTTTGCTGTAAGCAGCTTTTTATTTCCTACTATTGTTTTTAAGCTAGAAGCCAAACCTAGAGGCCAGATTTAACAAATACATTCACTCGAGTGTTGGGCCGTGCCGAAATAGGCCTACATACAAAAACCCTTAATTGATATTTTTACCAATATTTTATAAGAGAAAATTTGAGCTCAGGTGGACTGAGCTCAAATGTATACTATGTTTTACTTTTATTAGGCTCACTCCATTTCAAAGCAGATCATAAAAATGTAATTAGTTACAATAAGGCAGATAAAGGTTTTCACAGGGTACAGTGAAAGACAACAAATATTGTCATTATGAAGAGGATAAATGCATCACTAATAACATTGAAATTAAAGTTCGCTTGTTCTACGTGTGTGAATATATGTCAGTACAAATTTTAAATGCAGGACTTTTATTTTATTAAATGTTGTATGCCTGTTTTCCCTGCAGGTACTCTCTGCTGCTCAGCTGGAGGCCCTTGGGCCTGACAATGCAGCAATGGTGACCACTGAACAGCGAAATCTGTTGAATAATGATCAACTTGACACAGTTGAAACGGCTCTAACTGGTTTTCGTAACCAGGCACAAAGAGCTGTTCAATCAGGTAAAAACACAAATTTGCACAGCATTTAATTCCCACGTTCTTCGTCATCTAAATATTTTGAAGTATTTGGAACAAGTTAAATTTCATCCTGCCATTAAACGCTGCCATGTAGGCTTGGCTTATTCTGAAAAACCTAATTTCAGAGTGTTTTCAACATAAATATGACTTAAATTGTTTATTAACAATATAATAACAATTATTATGATATATTTATATATCAATATGTAAATATTAGACTTTAGTTTTAATGACCTTTGAATATTATCACTGAGAAATCTTTATATTTCACTGCTATGTCCAGGAGCTCCATCGCTGGGTGCAGAGGGGCTCTCAGCCTTCATGAAGCCCCTTCTCTTGCTTCTCATTGGGTTTCTCCTGCTGTGAGTCATCACATCCATCTGCTTAAGCTAATTACAGACCTATATTAATAATAAAATAAAATAAAAATAAACAACAGTTCAGCAATTCTTCAGGTTTATTTAGTGTTGAAGACGTTTGCACAGATTGATGTTTTATGATAATCGATACATGTTTGTGACTGTAGCTCACACGATTAGATGACCTTCTGAGATGTGTTAGAGTTCCTTTACTGTGTTATGTGTTAATAAGAAAATATATTTTATTAATTGCAGAGAAATATTTCATGTTTAATTTTCAGATGTTCTCGGTATGAGACTTTTTTGAAAAGTTGATATTTACTGACAAAAACCGAAGAATGATTCAACTTAATAAACGTTATTGTTACGCCAGCAGCCAACAGTGAAGTTTGTTGAAAGAAATGACCAAGTTACAAGTGACTTTTTTTCCCTCTTTCTCTGAAATGATTGGTTTGAAATTGTTTTATCAATGCTAAACACGCACAGGGGAGAGCTAACTTTGACAGGTTTTTTTTAAAAAAACTGTTAGCTGTCTATTGATATTATTCATGGATGGTGGTGAGAAATAGCTCAGAACTTGCAGCCTGTCTGAACGTTAATGCAAAGTTACAACTGAGGATCACATTATGAAATCACCCACATGTAGACGTTCATTCAGCCTTTCTAATTTGAAGACAATTTTGTTTTATGGCTGAACATCTTGGCTTCAACCTTTCCAAAACCAATTAAATTCAGTTATTTGTATTTTTTCGAGAAAATGGAAAAAAAGAAAAAAAAAAGAAAAACCTAAAACAAAAAAATACCCATGTTTTAGAAATAAAAATACCTTTGCAAATGTAAATATGCAAAATAGTCTGCAGTTAAAAGCAAGTGTTTGATCTTTGTGAGCTGCCAGCCTCAACAAGAGAGTGGTCAGCTGAAAAAGTATAGCAGCTCCTTTAAAAACAAAACAAAAATGAAATCCAACCAAAACATCAGGACAGAAAATACAAACATCCATCTATGGTTTATGGTTTTAATACATGAAAGTTCATAAATCCACCCTACAAACCTCAGCTGTGAACTCTATTTGATTAAGGTAGGATTAAATTTATTGGGAGTATTCTTCAGTAGTGACAAAACCTGAGGAGGTGCAACATTTGTTGAGCTACCAAATTAATAAAATCTGCATTACATCTGTACTGAATAAACATCCTCTAAACAAGATAACCAGGCGTCTTGATCAAACTGGCACTTATTCCTCCTTTCAGATTTTTTTAGAATACTTGTGTTAAACATGCCGATTTTGCAGTTTCTCTGAACTGATGAGGAAGCTACGTTGACACCTATAGGTGAAAGAACCACGAGAGAACGTGTAGTCGGTTATGGGGAACAATAGTTTTAATCTTTTAGCCGTTCCAAGGACTTTAGACAAAATGCATATATAACAATCTTCCATTTACAGTAATTCCATAAAGCAAGATTTAGGTAAACATATGGCCCGCATACCAAAAAACAATTTCACTTTCCACCTCTTGCTCACTGAATAAATTACTCAATCTGATATAAATACATTCAATTTATAAGGAATTAAACGTTGATTTCAATGCATCAGAAAGTTGCACCCCTACAAATAGTGTGTCTGCGAGTCAGATTATTGCTTAACATTTTCCAAAGCATAGTCAAAAGTTCTTAGAAAAATTTCCAGAAATTTTTGGTCCGCATTTATTTCAGCATCTAAATGTGTAAAGACTTCAAGGATAATATCAATAACGGTAATATGTGGCCTTTAAGTGTACATTATTTTAAGTTAAGTTTTTTTTTTTTCTCAAAACTAATCCCAAAGCACCAATGCTTTATTGCACATATGCAGTAAAGTATTGGTGGCCTTAATTATTGCTGCTTTCATTCAGGGATGACACCACCATGATTCCACTATATGCAAGCATATATTGCAAAGTTAAGCGAAAGCTAATGAAAAACTTTCAGCAGTGTGACTCAAAGCAAAATTCAGGGGGAATCTTCTAAAAGTACAAACGTGTACTTTTCCATTTCAGCTCAGTGCAGAAATAGTCAGTGAAAATAGTCAAGAAAAGCGAAATTTAAGTATCTGTAAATTGAAATTAAAATGTAGAGAAGCCAGCGGCTGCAGTTTAAGCTGGGAATGAACTGAAAGAGACAGCATGCTTTGAAAAATGACTGGCAATAAATTCAAAGAAACGCATCAAAATCACTGCAACAGTTTGCTTTAAAAAAAAAAAAAGGAAAAAAAAAAAGCATATTCATTCAACGGCCATCGTTATCACAGCACGGTTAGAACAGTGTTCACCGGCCTCTGCAGGCACATGATTGTGAGGGAAACAGACTAAACTCTAATTTCATTACATTAACTAAACACAGAAGCACAGCATCAGATCCTGAGTGTCACAAAAGATGAGAATCGCATCTGAACATTTCACGTTTTCAGACTATATTGGTAATCTTTGGTAAAATCAGAGCAGAACTCGCACTTTAACTGGTACTCGGTAACAGAAAGGCACTTGTGAGTACTCTTAATCATGACATATTCTTCATGTTTGCCATCTCAGATCGTTTTTCCTGCGTTCCTCGCATTGATAAAAGCCATACCGTGAGTTCTGAAGTGTGTATTCAGATCTGTGACCTTGTCAAAGTGTTTACCACACACCTTACAGGCCAGTGCTCCCTCCTCCTCTTTCCCCTCTCCTGTGGAGGGCTGAGTGGAGGGTGATGCTGGTGCAGAGCCATTCAGAGAACTCTTTTCCTCGTGGTGCCTACTATTTCCAACGGAGGGTGACAGGTGCACACTGGGTGCTTGTTGGTTGTCATTGACCACATCTCTCACTTTGTGGGTGATGAAGCGATGGCGTGACAGTGAGAAGGTGGATGCGAAGCAGGCGCCACACTGGAGACACTGCAGGCCACCGTCGTCCATGCCTCCGCGCCTGTGCTGGCTGATGTGCTCCAGGAACGCCACCTTCTCCTCTGAGGTGAAGCCGCAGACGGCACACCGAAACCCAGACTCGGGAAGAGAGGACGGAGCGAGAGCTGAGGAGGAAGAGGACCGTAGCTTCTTCCCCGGACTAACTCTGTCTGTGGACTCTTCATTCTGCTCCACCTTCACGGCTCCTCTCCGTCTCTTGCGAGCCCCCAAACTGCTGTCCTGTTCCGATGAACTGTCAGCTTCATCTTCACCACTCTGAGATATCAAGATACAAACTTTAGTAAAAAATACTTACTGTTTGACTTCTTGTGTGATCGGATTACTGCTGGCTTACCATTGTGGTTTTCTGGCTTGCAGTTTCTGTGCTGTGCCTCAGCTGAAGGTGCCTCTCCAACATCGTTCTGCTGCTGAAGGTTTTCTTACCTTCAGTGCAAAACCTGCGCGTGCACACGCACACGCACACACACACACACACCAAATTACAGTCATAACTGTCCTCTGTTAGGACTTCATACATTTAAGAGTTTTTAAAGTTAGTATTCAGGAGTTTACAACGAGCTTCCCAAAACTTGCACTGGGGACCAGGGTCTGACAAAAGTATATGAGGTGCCCAAAACATGAAAGCTTACAGGCTTGTAAGCTTTCATAATTGTGGAACAATTAAACCTTCTGCTCAACAATTTTTGTGTCACCACATGAAATCAGTGAAGTCTCACATTGCTTCATACACATACCACCTTTAGATTCAACATCTGGAAAAAGTACAATGGCAACATTATTTTAAATGAGTCTGTTCATGCTTATCCAATTCCTGGTGAACTCTGCTGTTCACCTGCTTCCTTCCCCATTGCAGCCTACTTCAACAAGTCAGCCTTATTCACATCAAGCAGGATGCAGTTGGGAATTTGGGAGTCTGCGGGGAAGCACACTTGCCTTTGCAAATACGTACACTAATGGGCACAACTGCGGTACCATAAATTAAACATTAAGCAGTGTAGAGTTTACAGTTAGGATGAACCTACAGTGGACATTATATAAGTATATAAATCCCACATTAGGGAGTAATGGCTATGGTGAATCTTTATAAAGCCTACAACATAACCAACACTGTTACCAGCTAGTGGGGGTGTGTTTGATGTGCACCACAATAGAAATCAATAAAATGCTAGTTAATCCTTCAAAAAAAAAAGGTAAATGGTAAATGGCCTGTATTTGTATAGCGCTTTACTAGTCCCTAAGGACCCCAAAGCGCTTTACATATCCAGTCATCCACCCATTCACACACACATTCACACACTGGTGATGGCAAGCTACATTGTAGCCACAGCCACCCTGGGGTGCACTGACAGAGGCGAGGCTGCCGGACACTGGCGCCACCGGGCCCTCTGATCACCACCAGTAGGCAACGGGTGAAGTGTCTTGCCCAAGGACACAACGACCGAGACTGTCCAGCGAACCGGCAACCTTCCGATTACAAGGCGAACGCCCAACTCTTGAGCCACGATCGCCCCACAAAAAAAACAAACAAAAAAAAAAAAAAACGTTGTGGGGTAAAAGTTGTTGGTTGTTCCCAGTCTAACATGCAGAGCAAGTACAAACAAAATAGGAAGGCTATGGCAAACAAATTTTCTGATATCTGTGAGTCCTTATTTTGAGGTTGTGATTATTATTCCTTATACTGAGGTGATGATTGTTATTCTTTCACTAATAAATTCAAAAGCTGTGGTCAAAAAATAACCAGAAATGCATAGGATTCACTGGTACTGAACAGCGGGGTTTTCCATTCCTATAATGTGCATTTAACAGAAAAGAAAAAATTCCCTGGAAGTAGAGGTTGGGTGGGGAAGTTACTCACTGGCAGCGAAAGCTGCGGTTCATGGCTTTGTGCTTATCTCTGATGTGACGCCTCAGACTGGAGGTGGTTGTGAAGGAGCTCTCACATTTGTTGCAGGGAAACTTCTTCAAAATCTACACAAAAAAATTAAAGGATTTGATTAAATCAGACATTTTAAACCAGTGATTCACAGCCAGGGGTGCAGAAACAGAGAGAATGCAGAAATGTTTTAAATAAATGAGTAATGGCCATGCACAGAGGCGTGCTGATCGATTCACATATCGATCGTATTAATGTCAACGCTGGTTCAGTATGTATCCCACTGAACTGTGTTAATCATGTTTTTTTCTTCCTTTCCAAAAAAATGAACTGTGAAAAACCTCTGGATCAGCTTCTATTGTTTAAATGTGCTATAGATAAAATAGATGTGACAGTCAACACAGAAAGGTTCAAGGTCTCCAAAAACCCAGTTTGAAAATACATGAAAAGCTGAAAGGTTTTATTATGTCAATCAAGTGCATATGTAAAACCAAAAACTGTCAAAATAATGTGCTCATGTATGAATCAGTACTTTGTATCCAGGAGTGTGGATAAACAAATTAGGGGTACAGACACTCTCATGTTCAC